GGGGGGGGCGAATACGCAAGAGACGTCATCAGGGGAAGAGGGAGAGTATTATTCATATAGAGCAATTGTAAACGTACCCCAGTGATACCTGGCTTGTGGCAGCCACGCATCCTGGACCCCCCACAGTGCACTGATTTATCTTCCGGCCGTTTCGGGCCCGGCGGGGGGCGCCAAAAAACGTCCAAGGGGGCCGAGAGACGTTCAAGAGGGCGCCAAGATGGCCAAAGAACACTCCCAGAGAGCCCAAGACCGCACAAGAGCGTTTCAAAATTGCTCCAACACGGCTTGAAGACAGCCCAAGAGGGCAAGACGGCCAAGATGCCTTCAAAAGGATTCCCACGATGCGCTCAGGAGGCTAAAAGAGTGTGTTTGTTCGAGTATTTTCGACGGTTTTTCGTATTCTCGCTATGTCGTGCTTCCGACAGTCCAAAACAGCCCACGAGGCCTTTGAAATCAGTTCAAGACGGCCAAAAAGACGCCCAAGATTGCCCAGGAGGGCCCCAAGACGGCCCCAAGAGGGGCCCAAGCGGGGGAACACGAACTGACAATTCGAGCCTTCCGCCCCAAGAGGCCCCCAACAGAGCCCAAGAGGCCCCCTAGAGGCCCCACGAGGCCCTAAAGGGGCCCAAGAAGACGCCCCACGAGCACCCCAAACGGCCCCCAAGAGGCCTCCCAAACTGCCTGCAAGAGGCCCCCGGGAAGCCTCCCACAGATTCCATACGAATTTCCAAGAGGCCTCTTATCCACAACCCAGGCATGGTGGCGGGATGGGCCGACGGCCATTATCGAGAATGTGAACCGAAAACCCGAGATCTTCGCCCAAGAGGGGTCAAGAGGGGTCAAGAGGTCCCAGGAGTCGCCCGAGATCTTCGCCCGAATGTGAACCAAAACCCCCAGGAGGGGTCAAGAGGTCCCCAAGAAGCTTGGCGACAGATCACTGGTCGACCGGTCGATGACAGCGGAGGAGAAGGAATGAGGAACAGGCAAAAGGAAACAGATAATGCCTCAATGCGGTCAGCACTCGACCAGCTAGAACCTAAGCGCGCGCGATGTTTCTAGTATATTTGTGTATACACACATACATACATAAATACGTATACCTATTCATACAAACATACATACATACATACATACATACATACATACATACTGCATGCGTTGCGCAATCAATGTGGAGCATATACGCGGTGCAATATATGTAGTGCAGTCAATCACTTGCTCAACTTGAAGGTGTCCTCTCCACTGCTCGTGCAAACATCCCACCCACCCACCCGCAACTTGGTTTGCAAAACCTCTTCGGACCGACTACGACGACAACGACTACGACGACACCGACGACGTCTCCGACGACTTCGACGACGACAACGACGCCGACGCCGACGACGACGAAGACGACGACGACGACGCCAACGAAGACGACGACGAGGGAGGAGGAAGGACGACGACGGCGACAACGACGACAACGACGGGGGAAGAGACGGCGACGCGAACGACGAAAAAGGAGGAAAAACGGCGACGCCGACGACGACAGCGACGAGGGAGGAGGGAAGACGACGACGACAACGACGACGACGACGACGACGGCGACGAAATAGGAGGGACGACGACGAGACGCCGACGACGGACGACGACGACGACGAAGGAGGAGGAGGAAGGACGACCACGGCAACAACGACGACGGAAACGACCACGACGCCAAAGAGGACGACGACGACGAACACGAGGATTGACAGAGGACGACGTAAGCGACGACGACGACGACGACGCGGGAGGAGGGAGGACGGCGACGACGACGACGACGACGGAAGAGCGCGCGCGCGCACGCTTTTGTTGAAAATCCGTGTTGCGAAACCTTGTGTTTTTGTAGGTTTTTGGATACACGATTTTGAAATCCTTCCGAAACCGATGGTTTTTGAAGTTTTCCGGCATATGCGCGCGACGACGCTCGCATCTGCACTTCGTCCCGTTTTTTTGTAGAGGATTCTCGCGACGGCACACGCGTAAGGGCGTTCGACTGATTTCGACATGCGCGCGCGAAGCCCCGTTTGAGTGCATGTTGTGGAAATCTTGAAAAATCCATGGTTTTCTTAAGATTTCGCAAGAGCTCGCGCGGAAGCTTTTGTAGCAAATCAGTGTTGCGAAACCATATGTTTTTGTATGTGTCTGGGAAACTCGATGGCGAAATCCTTCCGGCACCGAAGGTTTTTGAAGGATTTCGGCATGCGCGCGCGACGACGCGCGCGCGCACTTCGTCCCGTTTTTTTTGCCAGGGATTCGCGAAAAAGTGCTATGTTGGAAAAAAATGTGTCACCGCATTGTGTTTTTTTTTCCAAGGGAACCTCAGGGGGGATACCGGCTGGCTTGGGATAGTGTAAACTCATGTTTAGGATGGACATGTGGTCAGAATCAGATATGGTTTACATACCCGAAAGGGGCATTGATAACGCCGGGGGGGGGTGGTAGATCCTATTCTGTTTTTAGAAAGGAGAATGCATGTGATGCAATATACGTGGTGCGACCGACGTTGTGCAACAAATGTCGTGAGATCTATGTGGCGCGATCTATGTTGTGCATCCTATGTGGTGCAATCCGTATGGTGCAATCTATGTGGTGGATCTCTTGGGCACACGAGTTGGAAAATGCCACGCTCTCGCAAGCATCCCATCCACCCACCCGCTACTTCGTTTGCAAAACCCCTGCGGCGGCGATTGTGATGAGTGTTGGGCGTTGGCTGGTGCAGTTCTGGTGCCGCGCCAGCCCGCGCACGTTCGCGCGCACAGCGGCCAGCTAGTTTGGCACGACCGACACGGCGGCGGTGGCGCTGACCGCTGGGCCCTTCCCAGCGGGCACTTCAGTGCGAGTCGGTAATTTGGGCGGGCGCGGTATCATGGCGACGCCGACAAAAGTAGGCACGCTATGCGAGCAGCGATGACGGTGACGATGGTGGCGATGCTGGCGGTGTCGACGGCCCAATGACGGCGCCGATGTTGCTCACGCCCGCCGATAACGATGACGATGCCCTCGCGTCGGCGATGAAGATTTTTGAAGGCGTTTGACATGCGCGCGCGGCCGACGCGCGCGAGTGGACACGGATCGCGCCTTCCCCCCCAGCACGCGCGCAAGGGCGTTCGAATGACTTCGACATGCGGCGCGAGAGGCACATGTGGCAGAACGCGATGAAAAATATTGCAAAAGTGTTGTTTGTTTTGTCTTGAGACTCCATCCGCGCGACCACGTGCGCAGGCGGCTTTGAAAACTGAGGTTGCACAACCACGTGTGTTGATCTATGTTACAAGGACTCGTTGTCAACCCCTGCGAAGCCAAAGGTTGTTGAAGGATTTCGGCATGCGCGCGCGACGACGTGCGCGCGCAAAGGCGTTCGAGCGATTTCAACATGCGCGCGCGAGAGGCCCTTCTGGTAGCATTTGATGAACAGGTTGAAAACTCGTGGTTTTCTAACGATTTCGCCAAAGCGCGGGCGCATGTTTGGTTTGAAAACCGTTTTGTTGCGAAACCATGTTTCGTGATTCTCGAGTCTGAAATCCTTGCGAAACCTGGTTTTCTTCCAGATTCCGGCATGCGCGCGCGACGACGCGCGCGTGCGAATTTCATGTGATGTTTTGCAAGGGGGGCTGTGACATTGTCGATGTGTGATAAGCGAGTGCGTGCGCATGGTATTGCTTGCAGAAGATGGGGGGGGGGGGGGCCGAACTCCGGCCTGGCTGGGACTGTACGAGCTCATGTTTAGGATGGACGATGGGGCAGGTTCATATGTAAATTGCAATTAGAAAAAGGTGTTCCACGGACCCCGGGGGGTGAGGGGCAGATCTGATATTTTGCTTGGAAAGAGAATCGATGTTGCACAACCTATGTGGTGTAATTGATTTGCTTTCGCAGTGAGTTGTCAACTCCACTGCTCGCGCAAGCATCCCACCCACCCACCCGCAACTTGGTTTGCAAAACCCACGCGGGGGCGATTACGATGAGTGCTTGGTGTTGGCTGGTGCATCTCCGCGGTCGCGCCAGCCCGCGCATGCATTCGCTCGCATTGACCAGCTAATTTGGCGGGACCGACGCGGCCGCGGTGGCGCTGACCGCTGGATTTCCCAATGGGCACTTCAGTTTGAGTCGGTGATTTGGGCAGGCGCGGTACCATGGCAACGTCGACAACGGTGGACGCAATAATGATAGTAGCGGTGACGATGGTGACGATAACGACGGCAAGGCCGATGACGGCGCCGACGATGATCACGCCGATGGCGATGACGATGTCCTCGCGTCGATGATGCAGGTTTTGGAAAGAGTTCGACACGCGCGCGGCCGACTCGCACGGACCGTGCCCCCCCCCAGCACGCGCGCAAGGTCGATCGAATGATTTCAACATGCGGCGCGCGAGGCCCGCTTAGTCGAATTTGATGAACATGCCGAAAACCGTAGTTTTGTTTTCAGAATTCGCAAGAGCGCGCCCGCAGCTGTTCTTGAAAATTGATGTTGCAAAACTTGTTTATGTGTTCGGGACATTCGATCCTGAAATCCAAACTAAACCTGACGTGTTTGAAAGATTCCGGCATGCGCGCGCGACGACGCGCGCGTGCGCATGTCGTCCCATGTGTTGCAAGGGGCTATTGCGACAAACCGTTTGCAACGGCGTTCGAACGATCTCGACATGCGCGCGCGAAAGGCCGAAAAACGTAGGGACCCCTTAAGGATTCGCATGAGCGCGGGCGCAAGCTCTGTTTCAAAAATGTCGTTGCAAAACCATGTGCTTCTGTATGGTTTCGGGACACTCGATTTGGAAAGCATTACGAAATCTGATGTTTTTGAAGGCTTTTGGCGTGCGCGCGCGACGACGCGCGCGTGCGCACTTCGTCTCAACTGTTGCAAAGGATTTCTGGAAATGGATACTTTTTGATACACGAGTGCGCGCGCATAATGATTTTTTCCAGAGGATGGGGGATGCGATAACGGCGTGGATGGTTCTTGCAAATTGCAATACCAAACGGAGCCGGTTAAGTCCGGGGGGGAGAGGGGGAAGATCGTTTTATTTTTTTCAGAAGAGAACCGATGCGAGGCGGCGACGGGGCGGCGACAACGGCGACGAGGCGGCGAGGCAAACACGGAGCCGCCAGACTGATAATCAGGCCCTGACGACGGGCGGCGACTAGGCGGCGACGACGAGCACGCAGCCGCCAGACTGACACCCCCCCTAGACGACGGGCGGCGACGAGGCGTGAACGGGGCGGCGACTGCGAGCACGGAGCCGCCAGACCGACAACCCCCCCTTCAGTTCCATAGAAAAGAAAGCCCTAAGTTCCAACATTGTTTGGGGAACAATTCTCCACCCCCCTCCTCAAAGCTCATCTGCCCCCCGCCCCTCCCTCTGCGCCCAGCTCGGCTGCGCTTCGAGGGCCTGAAGAAGGCCCTGAGCCGCGGAAGATCAGAAGAGCCGCGCCGCAGCGTGGAGGTGGGAGGGCTGCTTGCCGCGGCCTCGGCTCCTCCGGAACCGGGCTGACCCCTGGTGGGTGCTGGCTCGCGCGCGCGGGCATGCGTTTGCGCGCGAGCGCGAGCAGACGTGCGAGCAGACATGCAAGCGCGCAGGCTGGCGTGCAGGCGTGCGCGTCGGCAGGGTGGCCAGGATGCGCGCTAGCGTGCAGCCTCACAGGCGTGTGCGCTTGCGTGCAGGCGTTCGAGTTGGACGGCTGGCATGCGCGGGGACCGAGGTCTCCAGCGCCCCAGTAGACTCGAGGCGTCTAGATTTTTTGTCTGGGCATTCAGAGGTTTGTTGGGGGCGGCCGGGGCCCAGCAAAGCCCTGGCCACCGCACGAAGTCGGAACGAGAGGTGGGGTCGAGAGATCTGGATTCCCCCGTGCTGAAAACTCGTGCCGTCGGAGGTCTGGAGAGCGGGCGTCGAGACAACCAGGATGGGAAGGGTACGAATTCGAGATGTGGGCGGGGCGTGTAGAAGGAGGCGTGTTTATGAATGATGGAGTTGATGGAGTTGGAGATCGGGAAACGACGACCGAATCCGCTCAGCCACTGGCAGAGGCAGGTGGTCCTTGCGCGCCACCCGTCATTGTGTTGGCAAGCGAACAAGAAGCACAAACATGTCGACAAATACAGGCGAAGAGGAAGGCAGGGACCAGAAGGAAGGCAGGGACCAGGAGGAAGGGAGAGGGAGGCAGGGAAAAGAATGGAGAGAGGGAAGGACGGGAGGGAGATGTTCACTCTTCGCTTGTCGTGGCACCGCTTTCTGCGTATCTCTGTGGCGGGTTCGCGTTTTCACCAGCAAGGCAGCGCACGACAGGCTCGGGAGAGTTTTCCCCTAACGCCTGGAAGTCGACTGGGGCGCCGCCTGGCAGCAGCAGCAGCAGAAGCAGCAGCAGGACCGCCAGACCCAGGCAGCCGGCGGGAAGGGCCAAAGAGGCAAGCGCCCCAGCGAGGTATCGTGGCCCACATGGAGGCAGTCCCGATCGCGCCAGATCTAGCTGGATGCGTGGCCTGCGGCGAGGGGACAACACACGCAGCTCCTGGGCCCAGCACGGCGTGTCACGAGCCCTACCTGGATTGCGACCACAGCGAGGTGCCTTCCACCCCGTGAAGTGCCCCGCATCACCGATCCACCTGTTTGTGCACCGGTTAGGTGCGATGCGCTGGGCGCGCAATGCACCCCAGGTGGTGCGCCTGGCTGTGTTGCGGGCGTGCCCCAGCTCTTGACCAACCTGCTTGTGCACTTGTTGGGTGCGCTCTCACAGGCGCGCCATCCACCCGAGGTGGTCCGCCTTTTCCCGCCCCTGGCACGTCATCCAACCTAGGTGATGCGCCTCCCTTCCACACCCGCCTTCCTGGTGTTGCCTACATGTTTGTGCACGTGCTAGGTGCGTTTCACCCAGCGCGCCATCCACCCCAGGTGATGCGCTAAGTACCGCTCCGCGGGCGCGGCATCCACACCAGATGCCGCGTTTCGCGCCAACTGAGGCTCCTGCCCTGATCTTGGCCAACCTGCTCGTGCACTGGCTAGGTGTTTCTTATTTGGCGCGCCGCCCACCCCAGGCGGTGCACCACGCCCGCACCCCAGGCGCGCCATGCGCCCCGGGTGGTGCGCACCCCCTCCTCCTGTGGTTTCCTGGCCCAGCGCTTCATCCAACTTGCACGTGCACTGGTTAGGTGTTCCTGGTACCCCAGGAGGTGCGCGCCATCCACCCCCGGCGGTGCGCCCCTCGAGTGCTGCGGGTGATTTTGCCTCCCGCGTTCGGTGCGTGGTGATTTCGCCTCCCGCGTCCGTAGCCATGTTGGTTCAAGGTCCAAGTTGCTCAAGTGCTCTAGTTGGGCACATCCGTGAGTTGCACAGTTTGTTTCTGCAGTAAGCTGCTGGCGGAGCACGGCTCGGTCTCTCACATTAGCATCCTTCAAGCCATGTCTAGAATGTCTGGTGCTGCAGGAGTCCAGAAGCCCGCTTTCGTAAAGTCGACCGACAAGGAAACGTTAGCCCGACTGACTCTCTGCGAGACGTCATGCTGCACAGGCCGCGCTGTCGCCTGAAAGCAGTCGGAAGGCCGATGCGGTCGCGCAGATGGACGAGTCGAAATCCAGCCCGGCCCTTCAGGTGGCAGTCCCAGCTTCCCGCCGAGCGCCTCGCCCGGCGCCTCCCCCCCTCCGGCGGCGGTAGCGGCGCACGCCCGGGTTCCCCGGCGCACGCGGCGGCACTTGCTGACGATGTTTTGGCCGAAGATCCGCCGGTTCCATCGTCTTCAGCCCCCGACAGCGAGAAGCTGAATTACATCATTCAGAACATGGGCACCAAGGCGTCCATCACGAATTCGCAGATTCAAATTATGCGATTGACAAAAGCTTTAATTCTCAATCTGAATACACCATTCGCAACGAGATGAAGGAACATATTTCCTCAGCAGTCGATCCGCTTCGAGATGAACTTGCAGATGCCCGATCTCGTTTGTCCGCCGTCGAGATGCAAGCCTCTTCATCAGGCACGAGTTCCAAAGGACACTTGGCCATCATAAATTCATTGACGTGTCGAATTTGCAGTTGGCAATTAGTGGGTTCCAGTCATCCAATGCCGATTCTCGTCTCATTGAGTCGCAGCCTTTAGCGAATTCGATTGACGGATCGATCAAGCCAACATATTCCTAACATGTTCAAGGGGCCCAGGAGCGGTCGACAGGTGAGAACTGCGTCGTTCCTTCAGGTCTCGAGCGCCGACTCTGCGCGGGCGTTCATGGAGAAAGCGGGCGGCAGAGGATCGAAGTTCACAGTAACGGAAAACACTGCTGCGACGACCAAGCCGGCCACGAGCAATGCGAATTCGACCGGAAACCAGGCCTTGAATAAAGCGGCTGAATTCATCACGGCAGCGGCTTGAGGCCAGGATGTCCGCGCAGATCTTACAGCGCGCAGCATTATCGCGAATGGAGCTCCCGCCTTTCAGCAGAGCAGCAGCGAATTAGAGGGTGCGTTTTTGCCTCCGGTCGCTCCATATGAGGCTTCTTGCTTAGTGGTGGCGGGGGGTCGTTTTTTCTCCCCTTGTCTCATTCGCGCCCTTCTTGCGCTCTTGCCGTCAAATTCGCCCTCCGCGCTGCGGGAAGCGAGCGGTCGCTCCAAACTAGATTTCGTCGTGGAGGTCCGCGATCTCTCGCGTCGATTTCGACGCGGCATTTGCGCTCCGGAACGCATTGCGTTTCCTACTCCCCCCCTCAGACTGTCGACGCCAGCGACGTCATCGGATCAGATTTTCCGCGATCTCTCATCCCCGATGATTCCGAACACCGCACCCCGGATAGTTCGAGCCACTTTATCCCGGAGGTGTCGCGCCGCCTTACTCTGGATGGCTCGAGCCGCCTTACTCCGCTCGGTTCGCGCCGCCTTACCTGGGAGACGTCGCGCCGCCCTACCTGGGAGTGTCGAAGCGCCTTACTCCGGGCGGTCCCAGCCGCCTTACCTGCGACACTTTGCTTCCACATCCTCCGCTCCGTCGCCCCGCTTGCCCCCATCGGATTTTGCGCCAATTTGTCTGGGCCTTCCAACGGGCATGCCCCTCTGTTGGTTGGCCCGCGCGAATCCGGACCTGAGACCTTTGTTTCATCGGATCCCACAATGCGTCACGCGATTGTTTTGGCAAAGCGAGCAGGATTAGGAGCACGTTCGTCTTGGTTCCCTTCGTCGCCCCCCCCCCCCCCCCCTAGTTTGCCTAGCCGAAACTCACTTGGATGCTTCGCGCGCGCACCCCGCCCTGAGCGGACATTGCATAATTGCTCGTCGAGATCACGACGCACATGGGCGGGGGCGTCGCAATTTTTGCAGTCGAGAAGCTATCAGACATTGCAGGCATCTCTACGCCATAGACGACGTTGAGCTTGTTTGGGTGGCAGTTCGCGCAGCGCGCGGCCCGGCGCCGGTCGGTTGTTTTCACAGACGCCCTCACCACTGCGAAATTGCTCCCGTTGAGCGCCTCGGTGCCGAGCGGCCCCGGCTGGGAGCCGACCGCGCGCAATACGTTGCCGTTGGGGATATGAATGTCTACCACATTTCGCGGCTTGGGTTTCTCCCCCACACTTCCTCCGCCGGCGATTCCCTTCCAGATTGGGCCCGCGACAGCGGCTGGGCGCAACGCGTTCGGTCACCCGCGCGAGGTCCACACTTATTGGATTTCTTGTTTAGCGATACTCAGGGTTGAAAAGTGAAAGTTTCTAGCAAATTGTCCGATCATCGCCCTTTGCCCCCTCGCCCCCCATGCCCTCCTCTATTCTTCGAGCGTGCGGAGCGCACTTGTTGGCATTGCGGCAGCGCAGATTGGGCGCGCGCGAATCGGGCTTTGCGACTGCGCGATTGGACGCGGGCTAACGGCGTTCATCCTGACTAACTGGTTGAGCGGATCGTTTCGCTTCTGTCTAGTCCTATGCATGAGCGCATGACTTCGTCGCACGCCCCATTCAATTCTTCTCGCCCATGGCTTGACGAGCGGCGCCTAAGATTAGCGCAGGCGAACTGCGACGCAGCAGGAACTGATGCGTTCCCCCGGGCCTCCGCCGAGTGCAGTCGCGGGCCCCGTGCCGCCCAGGCGGCGCACGTCGCTCGCAGTCGGCGGAAGTTGAGCAGTTCGAAACGGGGATCCAAACCGTGGTGGCGTCTGTCTGATCAACTTACGCATCGCTCTTCTAAGCCTGCGCCCTCTGCCCTCAAGCGGAGCGACGGCTCGTGGGCGGCCAGCAAGGAAGACAGAGCTGAACTGCTAGCCTCTTGCTTTGAATCAAGAAGGGACTTGCCGGAGGCCGAATTGAATTTGTTCTCTCCTTCCACTGCTCCTTTCGCCCCTCCTTCGCCCACGACGCTCAAGCGCCATCTCAGCGCGGGCACGAGAGGACAGCGGCACGAGGCCAGATTTGATCCCCACTCGCTCGCTGAAAGACCGCGCCAATGCACGAGCTGTTCCGTTCGCCAAACTTGCCCAGCGCGTCGTTTCCACGG